TAATACATTCATTTTTTGGCTAGAATGGTCTTTTTAAAACTTTAAATTGACCAGTTGACTTTTGTCCCATTTGATTTGACAACATAATCAATTTATTGAAATAACAATTTGATAATGTCGATAATGTGGTAACGTGAATTGGTGATAACTCATCCAATTAACTTATAGCATTGACCGCTTATATATAATTTTGTTCTTTCCATATTTAGTCATAATGGAAGACGTTTGAAGTTAGCAGTAAAATTGAAACATTCAAATGAATGCATTATATAAATAGATTCGAAATTACTTAATTATTTAGACGATTTTTGAAATTTGCAGATCATCGTATGAACTATAAGTATTATTACGTTGCATTATATTGAATATCTTTTTATTTCGCAAGTTCTCGATTATCTGTTGGACCAAATGGAAAGATTTTTCAAATTTAATTTTTTTATTTCAATAATTGTAATAATAGTCGTTACACCTACCAACTTCAACAACTCTCGTTGATACATCATTAGCAAACAGTAACGAATTAAATATTGGTTTGAATTATTGCAAAGTCAGGTGGACAGACAGGTACTTAATTATCAAGATTCATTTATGTTTTGAAAGTTGTACCTGAAATTGTACTAATATGATATTTTTTGTTCATATGGAAGAAGCTATCCCTGAAATTGTAATGTTATAAACCTTTGGTAAATTTGAACGGGTTGCATCTGTGTCGAGAACGTTTTAGTGAATAAGGATATTTGAGCTGTGATTTTTTTCTACGCAAGGTGTTCATATGGTTCGACTTTTTTTTTTTTTGACCTTTATTTGAAATTTCAAAATAACATATTAATTTATTTTAAAATTAGAAGAGGGGACAGCGTTTATGCAATAATTATTTATACCGATATGCAAGTTTCAGATAATTTATATAATTTAACGATATTAATTTCCAAAGAATTATTCGCGGATGTTCAATCTGGTACGTGATGTTCCAGTGCTCTGTCATGGAATATTTCTAATTTACATCACTAACTTTATTTATTTGGACTTGGAGAACAATTTTTGGTTAATGAAGTTGCCACTTGTTCTTTATGCGTCAATTGCGAACGATTGAGCAAAGTATAACGAAACTGATAATCAAAAGGTGACGTTTAATATTATTATCGTGCTCACCAATATGATGTAGACGATCTTGTTTTTTAATATTTTTTGTGATATCATGGAGTTATATGAAAATTAGCTATACAATAAATAATACTTATTATTATACATATAACTTCAAGTAATTTTCAATATAATAAATAATATAAATGTGAAGATATTAATTATGCAATATTTTTCTAACTGTAAAAGTTTTCATAAATCCCATCGCTCACTTTTAATTTAGTTTTTAAATTTTTGGTCATTGAATTATAATATTTTAGGAGTTAAAGATAAATAATAAATAACTCAAAAAAAAATTTTTTCTAGCGAGTATTCAGATATTTTATGCTTTTTCACTTTCGCGATATCAATTCAATTATGTGGAATAGAAACAT